TGGGTCGGGTGGGTACCCGTGGGTTCGGGTTTTGTTGCCATCCATATACACGGCAGCCATGGCTTTCTGTTTCCCATGCCACGCTTTCTTGTAGTTAATTATATAACCATAACGATTAGAAATGTCGGCGATGATGGTTTTCACCTTCAGGCCGGACTCCTCCTCAATTAGATGTTTGATAGCCGCGGCAACCACCCTTGATTTCAACTGTCGATGGCCTTGGGATGTTATTGATGACACACATGTGTGTGTTCACCGCACGGGATATGACCCAATGGCCGACTCTCTTGCTCTTGATGGCCCGGACCCTAGCTTTGCATCCCTCATTTTCATTCTTGCATCGAACCATCAGCCTCTTTGTGTCGGAATGGGTTGTTTGACATTCAAAACTCCGAGTCATTGCTTAACTGGCAATAGCGTGCCGGACCTCATTCTTCGTTCCAAATTGTTGGCCCTTGGTAAAGCCAGTGAGTGCACCCCATACTGGAACCTCTGGCGGGTCCATGCCGGCATCAACATACCAATCTTCATTTTGAGTGTGATTGTAGTATGGAATAGGTACACGGTCACGAGGTACCTCATCACCGTCTGCGTCTGAATCTGGACCGGAATCATCAGCACCTTCCAGCGGATCGGAGCTGTCTGCACTAACTTCACCTTCCTCTTCTTCAATCTCAGGGTCACTAACTGGACTTGGATTGACCTCTTCTTCCATCTGATTGTCATCATGAAAGGCACCTTCACCAGCTCCGTAATGGTAGTTGTGGTAACTAACACCGCTTTGATAGAAGTTGTAATCGGGTGGGTACTGGTAGCCTGCTTGTTGGTTGTGATCCGCCTGTTGAGCTTCTTCTTCATATGACGAGAAGGATTGATGATGACCTCCAGTTCCATGATGATACTCCTGCCTCCAGCACGAGTCTTGGAAATCCTGATGGGGATGATCTTCGTATAATACACTCCCACTGTGGATACCAGATGATTGGCCATCTCCAGAATGACCTACACCGCCTTCGAGGGCCTCGGTGTAAACGAACATCTCCGCTTGCTTAATTTTATTGGTGGTCAAAAATTGGACCATGGCATCAACGTCCTCCTGAGTGGTAAGGAGGAATTCCTCATGCCACAGCGACCCGTCATATCTGTTTGGATATCGATACACCATTTGATCAACTCTTGTAGTGCCATCCATGCAGGTAATCTGAGTGCACAATTGATGGAGCTCTTCAAGCGTCGGTCTTGTACGGACCTTCATTTTATGAAAATTGCCACCGACGTAACTTACACCCTTTTCGGTCTCTTCCGTGTAACCGTTCCACCGCAACCCAAGCGTGAACCTTTGGAATGCCATCTGCAATAAAACTGTAATTAAGTTACTAAAATAAAATCACAAACGACAATGAAAAGTAATACAAGAGGGATATGACAATGAAAAGTAATTAAGTTACTAACATAAAAGTACAAAGGACAATGAAAAGTAAATCAGTTACTAACATAAAATCAAAAAGGACAATGAAAAGTAATTAAGTTACTAACATAAAATCACAAAGGGCAATGAAAAGTTACTATCGGAATATCACAAAGGGCAATGAAAAATAATACAAAACAAACTTACGAATTAACGTTAATCGCAAAAACTAAATAATTTAAAGGTGCAAAACTGAAATTTGAAGAAGGAAGAGGAGGAGTGTGAAGAATTTGAGTTCTCTGAATCACCCTTTTATAGGCGAATTTTGGACCACAAACCGCGGGTGGGGGGAGCGGTTTTAGGTCTGCCATGCACCCCACCCCCTGCATGCCGACATGTCTGCTGTCAGGTGACCAGACACAAACCGCGCCTTAGGGCGGCGATTTATGTCTGCTGCCGACAACAAACCGCGCCTTTAGGCAGCGTTTTGTGTATGGGTAAGGTAAACCGCGCCCTGCAGGGGCAGTTTATCATGCCGACACTAAAATGCTTCCTCCCCAAGCGTTTTGTGGTAGGGTTGGCATATAAACCGCTCCTCTGAGGCGCGGTTTTATCTGAAAAATTAAAACGCTGGCTGACGTGGCGGTTATAGTGTAAACCGCTGCTAGGAGGAGCGGTTTGTTTGATAATCGCCACTTAGAGGAGCGGTTTTAAATAAAGGGTGGTATTTTTGGAAATTGTTGGGAATGGGTGGTATTTTTGTAATTTTTTGGTTTAATTCACCTGCATAGCCATAACTATCCTCATTTTGACAACAATAGCCACTTTTAAAAAATACACAGTTGTAGCCACATTTTAGAAACTCGTTTGACATAATTAGCCATTTCCGTTAAAAAATTTAACACCGTTAACAGGACACTGATGTGGATGCCACCTCAGCTCCCACATCACCTCCAACACACCAAGTCATGCCACCTAGCTGCCACATCATATTTACAATCTAAAAAAAATTATCATTTCAAATCTAAAAAAAAAGAGAGAGATCGCCGTCCCAAAAATCCCAGGTCGAGATCGATCTCTGCTTTGAGCTTTCCCAAACCTTTCTCACAAAACCATTCTTTCAATCCAAAATCTCAAAATCAAAATCCCACAAACCCCCTTCCCAGATCTCTTTCCTTTGCCCAAAACTTTGAGATCCACCACCCTAATCCTACGTCCCAGAAACCAAAGATCTAAATTTTCATTTTCCCTTTTCACCAATCAAAAATCCCTAAGCCCAAAAATCCCCAAATCTCCAGATTGAGTTCTCCTTCCATTCCAGCTCGAATCCGTTCATCATACGTCCAGTGGCTGGGTCGTCGTCGCACAAGCGAAATCACCTCCACCTCTTGTTCAGGTCCACAGACGACTCATCCGATTGTGAAGAGCCCAGTGGTGAAGAATCTATCGTTGTTGATGGCGTCGGACGAAGAAGCCGCAGGCAAGGGGCGAAGCAAGAGAAAAACAGATCCCAAGACTCAAAACCAGGAACAAGCATAGTGGGAGCTAGAAATCGAAGCTCAACGCATATCATCTTCCGCAAACCTTCAGCGCCTGAGGCGTCGCCGTCGAGCACCGTTTGAGCCAGACCACGACGAGAGCACCGAGGCGACGAAACCCATAGAGGAAGAGGCGGCAACGAGATCCCATCTGCTGTTAGAATGGAGTTGTTCGACAAGCTGAAAAAGCCGTCTGTGAAGCAGCCGCTGGAGAGCAACCCAGTCGATGAGAATTCACTTTGGGTAGCAGAGTCGGACGAAGATGAAGACTCAGAGAAAGCCCCCGCTGCTGAAGAACCACAAATAGGGTCGTCGCCCTACACTACTTTGTCCATGAAGAAGCTTTCTTTGTTGTTAAGATGAGCCCCCGCCACCATTCTTTCGCCGTCTTTACTTTCCCTTCTCCGTAGCAGCAATAGTCGTCTTGGAGGAGAGGGGGAGCAATAGGAGGTGAAAGTAGCGCCGAACATCTCACCCTGATTTCGCCAGCTAGATCTCAACCACCGCATTTGCTGGGAATCCCTAGAACAACCACCGCAACCAATTGGAGATCAGGGTCATTGATTCCACAATAAAATCCAGCGAGAGATGCGAGGAGGTTAGTCGCGGAGAGGGAGATGTATTGGTGGAGTGAGGGAGAGCGATCTGAGAATCGTCGACCCGCTCCTCCTCCTTCCGCAACCCACACCTTATACCTTTGTTCTCGCCTTCCCCGAGCTGCCTGGGATTTTTGAATTGTGGAATTTTTGTTCCATTGGTTTTGTATATTGGGGATTTGCAGAGAAGAGTAGATGAAGACGGGAAGTCATAGAGAATATGAAGAAGGGATTTTGAGGCTGAAGATCATGAAGCGGCGACGGGAAGGAATGCCATGGCAGCCGCAAGAAAGGTCAAGCGGCGATGATATCATTTCTCTTTTTATTTTTTTATTTTTTTCCATTTAATATTATAATAAATAAGTCATTTCCAACTTGGCAAGATCAAGATGAAAAGTCAGCCACATCAGCAAGTGACGTTAGTCCAGTCAGCATGTGTCACATTTCCGTTAAACTTATGAACGGAATGGCTATTTTAGTGTATTATTCAAAATTTGGCTATATTTGTCAAAACGTGCATAATTATGGCTATGCAAGTGTATTAAACCTAATTTTTTTTAAAACAGTGGTAGTTTTGGATTTTTTCCCCTCTTTTTGCAAGGTTGTCAGATGTTTGTTGTGTCGGTTTGACAAGTGTTATTAGTCCGATCGATGAGTACAATCGGTTTATGTTAGTTTATGTAGGTTTTAATAAAATATTTAAAATTTGAGAAATTATCAGCACTAATGCATTTAGGCATATATATAACATATTTGAAGAGAATGTATCTAAAATTTACATTCATATTTAAATAAAATACAACATTCCGAATAAAATGAGAAATTTTCATATTTAAGTACTACATTTAACGCTAACATCAAAAAGTTTATACTTGAATTGACAAATAACATAAACATCTAAATATGCATACTTGAATATAAACAATAGCATCAACATTTAACTTTCAAAATAAATAAATAAACAAGTAATTCTTTTTAATTAATTTCACCAAAATTATGTTAAAAATTCAGTCGTTTCAGTCAATTCATGAATAGTGTTTCTGAAACTCTACTTTATGGAAACAGTATTATTTCTGGTGCCATTATTCCTACTTCTGCGATGTTAGCCGGTTCTATAACCAGTACTAATTGAACCCGGAGTTGACTTTTAGGCTCACTAGGCAATGGCATGGCGTGTTGACTAACGGTCAACGGAGTTGACCGTTCAAATTGACGGTCAAACTATGTGTCGGGCCAATTGAGTCTATATGCTGCATAGTTGAGGCCAGGATGTTAATTTTTAAAACCACAGACCAAAGTTGATTATATAGTCATAGTTCATGCCAAAATAAAGTATTAACCCTAATTTTTTTTTAAAGAAAACATTGTGCAATGCTCTCATCAGATGGATATTTCGTCCATTCTCTTGCAACTTAACATTGTCGAAACCAAAGGGAAATATTTGGCTGTCACCCAATCATGAGGCGCCACGTTGACAAGCAGAGGTTTAGATTGGCCTGATTGGCCAATCCTTGACGCTTGATCTATCCGTTACAAACCGTCGAGGCTGCCGAGAGGCGACGGCGCCAAAAAGTCAACCATGACGACAGCCAGAGCTACGCCATCGGACCTCTCACTCCGGATCGTATCCGCTTCCAGCTCCGCTCTCTCCTCCGATTCCAGACTTCCCGTGAGTTCATCTCCGATCACCGTCGACCGACGCGGAAGCAATCGCCTTCCACCTCCAATCAAGATCTCCCGCAGAGATGCCGCTCTACTCCCCTTCGTCGCGCTCGTCCCGCTCCTTGCACCGCCGCCTCCCGCCGCAGCTTTCTCCGTCGGCATTTGTAAGCACGAATCGCAAATTATCCTTCGATGACAAAACTTGTCTGTTGATTCTCCAGTTCAATTTCAGTACTAAACGAAACGTTTCGATTTCCGTTGGGCCACGCAGCAGGACCGAAGGACTGGCTGAAAGAGCAGAAGAGGAAGGCGGCGAAGTACCTGCTGGCGCCTATCGATGCCTCCAGAGAGAATCTCCGCTCCGTGTATCTGGCACTCAGTAAGTATCTTCACAGCTCTCTAGTAATCGTCCTTTTCCCCTCGGATTTGACTTGTGTAGCGAAACTGAATTGGAGTGCGAACCTATCTATGGCGGTGAAGCAGCTGGGGGATCTGATCTCACAGTCGTCGATTTAGGGGAAGTTCAAAAGCTTCTGGTTTCTTCTGCTAGAGATTGCGTTCCACGAGAGAGGAATTCGTTTGTGGTGTTCCAGGCCAATACTGGAGTAGAGGTGTGGTTATGGATGTAGCTAGTCAATTTCTGCACATCAAATTCCATGGCGTACAGTTTTATGAACTTTGGTTGGATGTGATGCACAGGTTTGCACGTTCACTTTGATTCTGAAGAATGCTGCTTCATTGCTTGATAAAAACGATCCTGTCAAGCTGGAGGGTGAAGCCATATTGAATAATCTCATAAGGTTAGTACATCTCATTGTTTGCCAGAACTTCTGAACAATGCTACTCAGACTGATGATTAATTTGTGCTGTAATCGGATTGTGCAATTTGTCTTTGTGCTCCAGTTCGTTCGCTTCTCTGAGCGGTGTCATAAATGGAATGGATATTCAACTCTCTTCTGACAGGTATGTGCACTAATTTATGGATTTGCATGACTTTGTTAGAAACAGAAGAAGGGATATAGGAAGGCTGAATGTCGTGTTACTGGGAATGAAGCATGCTAGTTTTTTCGTCGTAATTTAAATGCAGATTGAAGGTTGCTGATGCAGTGATGGATACTTTGTCGTCGTTGGACAAGTTTGAGCAGGGAGTGAAGGATTGCCTTGAAGCTTGATCATGACCAGCATACTGTTCATGCAATGCCCTTCTTGTTCAGAACATATGGTACATTAACACTAGTTATTGGTTGTGTATCATTCTCCTCACATTCAGCCTCATTTCATATAATGGGCTTCAGTGGAATTCTTGGGAGTGGTCTCTCTATTCTGGCAGTTTTGAGACTAGTAGAAGTTTTCAAATTCAGATGGCAGTTCTTGCAGTTTGGGAAATGAAGAATTCTATAGAGCAATGTTATTCTTTGCCGTTGGTAACACTGCTGTAGCATGCATTTTGGTGAGACTAGAACCTCTCTCTCACAAGCAACTCATGGTTGATGGCTCTGGCGGATATTTGAAGAGGTCGTCAAAAAATGAACTGCTTGACATGTCGCAAAACTAAGATTGCATCTTGCATTTATTGAACAAAACAAAATGGCAACAATGCTGGCATCTATGCTATAGTGTTTAATGTGGATCCCGCATCATTTGTACAAGTTCTATATGTTGGTTTCATTGGGCAGGCCTGAAGCCTGCACTAAATACAAGCGACAACAAGGCGTTCCATCATCAGGGTGGATCTGGGCTGACCTCGGCAAGCCGCGGAGTTTGTTGAACAGATTTGACTGATCATCCATGAGCCCGAAATGGGCGTCTGGATCCCCTATCTGCGACAGCTTTACCTCGGAGAATCCTAAAGACGGGAGGAGATCATCAGGCCAATCACTATAGAAGTGAAAGAGAGAGCTAGACATGGTGGTCGATGGTTTGTTCATGAAGTCACCGAGAAGGATAGTGTGGGCAAGGGAGCACTTGTCCGCTATGGTCTTCAGTACTTGCAAGGCTTGTGAATGGGACAGGTAATATAGGATGCCTTCTAGAACCCATACTGTCTTCTTCTCTGGTTCGAAACCTGATCTTTTAAGCTTCTCAACCCAATCACCATTTCTGATGTCTGCAGCTACCCTTTCGAGGGATTTTGCTGTCATCTTGAGGGGATTGTGTTCGTTCATCGATTTTGTTGCTGCCTCCAGAAGGGTGGCTTTCACTTCTAGGACGTCGGGGAAATCGACCTCAAAGACATCAGTTTGCTTCAAGCTGGTTAGCCGGTACGCCCTTGTATCCATGCCTGTCATATGCGCACACACAATAATGTTAACACTAAGTTTTTGGTATCACCAAAACCAATTGAACAAAAGGATAAGAGAAATGCCTGCTTGAGGCCAATCTTGTGAAGACTACTTATTTTTTTATTACAATCTTGTGAAGATTTTATGAACAAAACAGTCCTAGCATGACCATGAACACAAGATATCCACCTATTATGTAAAAATTCCAGTAAAAATTTAGAAGGTTCATTCATGTTAACAACGGGATAAGTTGGTCACTAACATGACATCTGAATTGTTTTTATCACCGAGATGTCGTGTGATCATATTTTGGTAAATTCGTTTATGACTTGTGAATTAGGAATTCTAGTAAAGAACTAAAGATCAGAAGCTCCATTTATACATAAAAAAACTAATTCGTTCCAATCACTCAATTGTCGAGGAATGTTTATCATATCCTAGAATTAATCCAACCATTCGAATTAATCATTTCTCGGCAAGATAGCAGAACTTTTGATGATTGAAAGATAGTGTATCTAGATCCTAGTGTGTATTGTCCCATACTAGCTAGTGGAATAACAAGTTCCGAGTATCACTGACATTATTTGCTCAATACGCTAGTGAAATGAGTAACTTTCTGCTTGCATTTTGGGTTTCCAATGAAGTTGTTCTCATACTGTAACATGTTACATGGCATTGCTCTCAGACCAGAAGCATCATTATTCGTAGGCATTGAAGAAAAAACGACAGAGAACAGAGAAGGGTACGATCACCAACCTGCACCAAGGAGAACTACCTGAGCTTCACCGGCGAACGAACTCAAGGCGGCGTCGATCTTGGAATCGAACCACAAAGTCCGAACGGCGAGGATCACCCCGGAAGTCTCCCTCGCATTGTTGAGCAGGTCTTTCTTGATCTTCTGGTGCAGACTTCTCAGGTACGTCTCCCCCGCCAGCAGGTCAGCCAGCGGGTCGTGGATCACGTGCCTCCACAGCGCCCTCCCCGCTGCCGTCTGGCACGCCGACAGCCGGATGGGATCCCATTGGCTCTGGATCGCCACGTGGAGCTCCCTCACCGCCTGAGTGTCCAGCAACTGCGACAGCTTCAGCTCCTCCGACGACCACTGAGACTCGTCCTGCAACTTCCCGCTCGACATGCTCATCGAAGAAGAAGTAAGAGAGACGACGACGCTCAGCATGCAGAGCGACTAAACCTGGAGGAGGATTAGTAGAGCTGAAATGAGGAGATTGAAGAAGAAAGAACGGCAGCAGCATAATGTGGTGAAACAAAATATAGGAAGGGAGCAGAGGAGGCGGGGGATAAGGGAAAAAACAAGAGCCACACACATAACCAGCGCTTCACAGGCCACCTCTATCCCTTCTCTCTTCCCCAAAAGAAAATAAAAGTGAAGGCAACAAGCTTGTCCACGACTTCCTCAGAGAGGTGGTGTCTCTTTCAGGAGTCCCCAACAGAGGCGAAAGATCCCCATGGAAAAGGGTGGCTGCTCTTTTTCCTAAAATCTCAACTCCCCGGTGGGTTGAAGAGGCTGGTAAGAGATATGGTTACTACTACAGTACTACTACTTCGCATTAGAGTCCAAACGAGTACTTGGTTTTGGTTTTTGTCGTGCTTTGTGTGAATGACGCAGGGCTGGCCATGTCGAGAGTGGGGGAAAAAAGCACAGGGATCAGTGGACGTTTGTGGGCCGCATCGGCGTCAGGATCATGTTTTTGGGTGGCTATGCTTGTTGGAGAAACGGTGGGTTTAGATGCTCCGTGCGGTGCGAAGATTTGGGGAGGTGGACATCTCTTTCCTTCTTGCTGCTTGTCCACTTCTTCACACATCTGCAGGTAGTCGACTCATATGTATATGCAAGTGTTCTTCAATCTTTTGTTTGGTTAATCCATCAGACTAGGGGGGTAAGTTTGACCTTAAAAAGCATTGATTCGTCCCGATCTTGAGAGTCGGGTTGGGTCAGTATATCGACAGGGTTAGTTTAGGGTCGGGTTATCTTTTGACCCTTTAAGGGTCGGATAGAGTCAAGTCAACTTAGAGTCGGGTCACTTTTTGACCCTCTGACCCTTGGCAACAACTAGTGCATGAAATTATACATGCCAACACATAGGACCTATTTGCAAAAGTTTAAAAGTTTAGGGACTAAATTGTAAAAAAACAAATTTTGGGTACCTAAACGTAATTTTACCATCAAAATTTAAGGACTTATTTGTAAAAAAATAACTTTTAGGTACTAAATTGTAAGAAAAAATTATTAGGGTACCAAAACATAATTTGTGCAAAATAAATGTGTTCATAAGGGTCGACCCACGACTGTACGTGGGCAACGGGCTGTGCCGCCACAGGCTGGCACGACATGGTTAGAGCATGGCACGAGCATGGGCACGAAATAAATGGGTCAGCCCGACACGAGCACGAATAATTTATGGGCCGTGCCGGGCCTAAACTTCATAGACACGTGCACGAGCACGGGCACGACACGGAATATAAGTGGGCCGTGTCGGGCCTAATATTTTCGAAACTTTATTGAGTATAAGAACGAACATGACACGAAAATAATATTTATTTGATAGAAAATAAATATAAAAAGAATTATATGTTCAAATATTACAAAATACAAGTAGAAAAAGAATTATTTGTTGCTGTTAGAAGTGTCATAAAGATATATATGCAATTACTATCACAAGTAAAAATGGACGAAGAATTAAACAAAGCCAATCACACTCGCTATACTTTCAATTTTCTTTTCCCCCTCATTTGTTACTTTTCTCAAACATTATCAGTTAATACTATCTTTCTCCGTCCAATTTTCACATTCTTTTTCATTCTCTCTTTTCTTTTCTTCATTTTCATTAAATATGAATACGAGCATGACACGAGCACGACACTATTCGAACCGTGTCCAGGCCTGGGCCGGGCCTAGCAAAGTTAACAAATAGGCTTGCATGGCACGACACGAAAACTGACGGGCCGTGCCAAGCACGACACGAAATAAATGGGCCCGAAGCGTGCCCGTACCGTGCCGACCCAAGCACGGCCCAACGCCCATGTACAAACCCGACCCGCCCCGACCCTAAAGGGTCCGACAGGGTCAAGAAGGAAACAGGAGCGGAGCGGGTCAGTTATACACTTTGACCATTTAGGAGCGAATCAGTCATGATCAGAACAGGGTCATGTGCGGATGAGGGTAATTTTCAGCCCTACATCATACCATATCGTTACATTATCTAATCTCGTCTGATCAACCAGAAATATGGGGATTATCCCATCCTTAGCTCTGGACATTCCTAACCGGAAATATGTTAGTGTAATGATAATCAAGCATTATTGTAGTAGTTTTACTATTGTAATTGTTTTTGTTACAATTTGTGCCATTTGTATGTCTATTTGAGCATTTGTTAATTGACATGTGCTAGATAAATTATTGTCATTGATATGTAAAAAATTGTGTTCTTTTAAAATTAAAGAAGCTTGTTTGATATTGTTTATGAGAACGCTCATAACTCGAGATGACCCAAAATCCGACCTGAACCGATTGCCAGGTCTACATTTAGTTACTTGGGAACAAATACGGCTACTAATAAATAAAACAACTCTTAAACCAACATCAATAACTAGTGGAGGGCATTGGTCCAAAATTGGATGGAATTGAGATAAGGCCAGAAGGAAAAATGGGGACGGGATACGGTGACAACCTTTTAAGGGGTTGTCAGATTCACAACCCACTTCATAGCCCTTGGATACGCTCTCTCTCCTGTTTCCTTTTTCTTTTTTTAAATTAACGGTTAAGATTAAAGGAAGAGAATTTTTGGAAGGGTAAAAATTTACCACACCCAATCATTCACCCTACCATATAAAAAGAAAAAAAAAACCCTAACTCCTCCATCCTCCCTCTCTCCCGTAGCCATCACCGTCTCTCCTCCCTCTCTCTCGCAGAGCCCTCCGCCGCCACAGCCCTCCACCGCCGGCGTCGGCGCCCTGTCTCCTGCAGCCGCCTGTCGAGCCTTCCATCGTCGTCGTCTCCGCCATCCTCAGCCTCCCTCCACACCCTGTTGTTGCAAATCTCTCCCGCCGGCCCGTCGCAACGTCCGCCTCCCACCACCGCGGCACAATCATCCTCTCCCCGTCTGATTAATTACCAGTAGACTAATGAATTGGTACATTTTTTAACGCACTGGTACATTTTTTCAGGTTGCCGGAGGGAGTCTGGTGGAGAGAATTCGCCGGAGAAAAAGTCTGTTCGTCGATGCGGAGTGGTCTCTGGAGAAAGGAAGAGAGAGAGATAGATAGAGATATTAATGTATAGGATTTAAATGAAAAAAAAATATATTTAATATGAATTTTTAATTCCCAATATAATTAATACACAAAAGATAATTAATATATTCCTTTTTTTCATACCCAAAATACCCTTGGTTGTGAATCTGAGTTGTCACCATATCCCGTCCCAAAAAAATGAGGACCAAAATCGGACAAATAACATATTTGATTCATTTGGTCTGATTCAATCTAGTCAAAATTCGAATTCTGTTTTTTTCTTCATTTTTAAAATAATTTATAGTAACAAAACCAAATCAAAATATATTCAATTTGATGCGATTCACTCTCTCCATCTCTATGTATTGTACATCAATTAATTATCTTCTTTGAAATTGGAATCCTTATTGGGTCGGGTTATGAATTACCCAATTCTATAAAAGTAGAAATTAGTAGTTATGTGGAAGCTTTTCGGCGACAACGAACCAAGTCCAATGTCCATGCATGCCCACCTATGGCGACAACGAACCAAGTCCGAATCCTCATTGCTGGTTTTCGTGTTCCAGATCCAAGGTCTCTCCAAAGCAGAGGCAGGTGGGGGAAGCGGTGGCGGCGCAGACGAATCAAGTGATGATGCCGATGACTTACCTGAATCTCCGGTTGACCCCACCCTCTCTCCTAAGGCGATTCCACTATACAGACTGGCCTTCAGGCGGCCTGGTACGCCATCGATGAATTCGGAGGAGTCGGTGACCACTTGTTTCGAGAGTAGCGTTGCTGGGGTGTGGAGTGGTGGTGGAGATCAGTACAGTGCTCACGGCGGAGGCGCCGCGGGACGTAGTGGTGGTTGTGGTGAGAAGAAGTTGCTCAACTTGTTCATTTGATGGATCGGACGGCCGACAAATAATGAAAACGAGAGAAAATATTTGTCTCTGTTATCGTCTTCCTCTGTTTTAGGTTCTGTCTTTTATTAACCATTTTTGTGGAAGGAATCATCGGACGGCAGCAGTATTGACATGCGAGGGCTTGGAGGAGTTGCAGCAATTTCGGGATGTAATATTCTCAATTAATTTTCTTTTTGTGTTTGGATTTTCCTAGAAATCGATCGGTTCCGATGAGATTTTTGGTGTTGTAACTTTTGTTATCTTCTGTTTTGCACATGATTACCGGTTGACGATTTTGCGTACACGATGTAGGGGGAATGAATTTCCTCTTAAATCCCAAATGCGGAACTCTCTTTGATCTGCCAAGCCCAAACGTGGATCTCTACTGGATGCACCAAACATACGCGAATCATTTTTGACTCGCCAGACAAACACATATCTCAAATCTCGAGGTCACCGAATGAGGGTCCGGCGGATCTGGGGTGCTCAATTAGTACGATATTGTCCGCTTTGGGCCAAACCAGCACGGTTTTACTCTTATGTATCCTCCCCACAAGGCCTCGTACTAATTGGGCTAGGTGGACACTTATATACAATGGTTTCTTCCCTTGTATTTCCGATGTGGTACTTGGATTGTCCCATAACAATGTATTTTGCTGAAATTATCGATTTGACTTCATTGTGAGAGAAGTCCGCCGACGGTAGTGAATGGAGAAATCTGGCGGGGTTTTGATGATGAGCTTTAAGGTTTTTTTAATAATTGGAAATGATGTGCAAAATTAAAAAGAAAATTTTTTATTTATTTTTTGATAGTCACGTCACTCATTTAACAGTCAACTGTGAAAGTTGATTGCCACATCAACAAAAATTAACGGCGACTAACGAAGAGTGACCAAACTTGAACTATTTCTCTAATTTAAGTGACCAAGAATGAAATTAAATATTTGTAATGACCAAACATGAACGTTTTTAGTAAACCCAGTGACCAACCTTGCAATTTACCTAAAAAATTAAAAGAAATTAGTAGTTACAACCGGGCTTGTACCTGGAGGTAGGGATGGCAATGGGTTTATCCGTGAAAAAAACCCGGGGGTAAAACCCACTGGGTTTGAAAAACTCAAACCCAACCCGCTAGGTATCCGCGGGTTCATGGGTACCCACGGGTTTTTGTCGTAAAAAATTTACAATAACAAGTTCCTATCAAAATTAAAGTCAAATATCAATCTCTCAATACAAATTATCCATATATAAAACACCATTCTAAAAAATTCAATCAAATCACAAATTAACTATACAAATTTTTCAGCACCAATCTAGAAAACTCAAGAAAATTGAAGCAAATCGCAAATTATTCATAAATAACATGATTAATTGAAAGCTTCTTCCTTTCAATTAAGTTTCTTTACTCTGCACTCGATAACATCAACTTAATTCTACACAATTAGAAAGAAAAAATTAGACATGTCTCCACAAACATAAATAAGATTAGTTGTTTAGAATATTAAATATACCGAGAAAATTAATTATATGAGTGTGGGCGGGTACCCATGGTCGGGTTTACCTAAACCCAAACCCAACCCAACCCAGTGAATAGTGAACGGGTTTAAACCCAAACCCGGCCCAAAACCCGTCAACACGAATTTTACTCGCGTTGACCGGGTTGCGTCGTGTGGGTACCCGTGGGTTCGGGTTTTGTTGCCATCCTTACCTGGAGGGTGGTATGCGTGTAGCATATGGGCTTTTTGATCCGCGAGGCTGGCTACCTGGGCCAGGGCCTATTGGCACTGAGCATTTTGTTTTCTTTTTAAGCTTTACTTTTTAACTAGCACTGAATCCGGCCCGTTGGTCGGGAGAGGTTAGACTAAAAATATAGATACCATAATAGATTTAATAGATCCTCGAAAATGCATGCAATATCTTTCTATACATAATGTGCTTAGAATATAATAAGAAGAAGAGAAATATGGTTTAAGAAATACATATAAGTATTAATAAAAAGAAATACATATAATTGATTGTCTTTTAGACCATTTAATTGAACATTGGAGATGTTTCCTACAATACATGTATATAATCAACCATTTATTTTCTCATCTCAATTATTTTCAATTCTTGACAACTGATTAACTGTAACTATGTTGCATAAAATATAAGTACACTACTAATTACCAACAATGAAAACAAAAGCAGGAGACTTCCTATCTATGAGTTTACCTAAATTTGGACCAAACTATCCATGGGAGGTAATTATCATCCCTAGATACAATATTAGTGATGAAACTAACGTATACATTCGTCTATATAATTTTATAATTATCACTCAATATTTCTAGATCAGTCTAAGTCAACAATCAAATATGGAATTTTGCTAATCTAATGAAACCAATTCTATGAACAAATAAACATTTTAGGACAATGATGAAAATAATGACCTCCAGACCTGAAAAACATATAAGTAAAACTTTATCTATGAAGCCAAATCGACAAAATTCCAGTTAATTTTAAGATGACATACTTTTCGTCTGAATAGTTTGATTATGTAATATAATAATAACTTTTTGTTTGATGGATGAAAGATTGATAAGAAATTCATAAAAAATTATCGATAGAGCATAAAGTTCTCTCATATAACTTTTGTAATATTAAAATAATACATATTTTGTAAAAGCACATTCTCAATGAAATGCTATGGTAAGTATTTAGCTCAATGATTTTCAAATTAAATATTTTTTGGATTAATTTTCTTATTTTGGTACAAATATAATATAATCTCATCCTAGGTTCGAATCTCAGGAACAACGCTTGTTTCCCCTTCCCCATCTCTCTAGTAGCATCCCTCGTGAAGATGTCCAGATAAAAATAAACATTTAACATTTAGTATGTGCCCCGATAAAATCATTTTTTAACATAAAAAATATTATAATATCTAACATTATTACATGAATTCTTACAATAAATTTTTGGTATTGTACATTAGATATGTGGGATTGTCAAACTATCTAGCCTTATCACCAAATATAACTAACAATGTAAACTATAATTAGACTCATCAAGCGGTCAATGCACAATTAAATAAATAATGTGATATGAAAATTTGAGGAAAAAGAACTAACAATCAACATTTTATATATCAACTCATCTATTGAAAATTTGTATCATATTGCTACCTTTTAAATTTTGATAAGTGAAAATTGTAAGGTTAGTAGAGGTGGCCAAGGAATATATTTTCAACTATGTGTAACTCATACAAATATGAAGAAAAATAATGTACGGCAACATTATTTTCTTACATTAGTTAGTATTATATTCTAGCAACACATCCTTAAAATAACATTTTTCTTACATAAATTATCAAAATTCATTAATTTATCCTTTATGTACAACATATATTATAATTTTCACGTTGATGTGAATGTGATTGTGTTTTACTTCATATGAAAACCACCTGTCATCCCAAATTACCAAAAGCCTACAAATTAAAATGGAAAAAGAATAATCAAAGAAAAAAGATAGTAGAGGTAACCAAGCGGCATCCTTCCTCTTCAACGTGTACAACATGCATATATTTACTGCATCCCCTGATTATAGTATAAGAATCCTCATTAATTATAATATGGAAGGTCCTTCAAATTCTCACTCTCTGTCCAGCCCTCATTATCTAGCTTCTCTTCTCACCCATCCTCGGCCTTATTCACTCATTCAGCTCCAACGTGATACCCTAATGTACGTTCAATTGATGGGCTCCAGATGCTTGTTCAAGTAGAAGGACAAAGTTGGAGAGCTAAAACGATGTCAACAACTATTGATATGCACCTTCAGCTCCAACCAAGAAACTTCAAAGGGAATGGCATGGCGCCAACGGTGGTGAAGTAACGGTGATTGATGCAGTCAAACCGGCCCCGGACAATCCATCGGCTCTAAATGCTAGCTGAAGTAGACGGGCAGAGTTGGACAAATAGAAGAATGTCAACGATCCACATTCACCTAACTGCCATTGAATCAAATCAAAATAGAAGTAGCTAATCTAACCACCAGTTCAATTGGGGAGCATCGGGCAAGGAGAAACTACCATGTGCGTACAGAATACAGATCCATATATAGAATGTTGGAGGGAGCCATTAATCAAGAAGATTCTTTTTCGTTTTTTCTGAATGGAACTCAAACCTGCCATCTTTTGTGGGTTAGCCATTTCGGGAACTTTTGTGATTTGCCCATGGTTCCTGATTGTGGTAGCAGCTGGATTTTGTGGAGAGAGAGTCGGAGTTGCACACGGAGTGATGAGCTATGGTAAAGCCCGGGCAAAATTATTCATGGTGGCCTCCAGAGATGGCAATTTACCCACCCATGGGTAATTTTGCCCAAACCCAAGTAGACCTATTTATTATGGGTAGTGTTTGGGTGATGTGTGTATGGGTTTGGGGTTTGTATATGAGTTTGGGTTAGATATGGATATTATCTAAATGCGTATGGGTTGAATATGGATATCCATTTACTTGAGGGTGTTTTAACTACACATGCAAAAATTGGACTTATTTGTAAAACTTAAAAAATTTAGGTACCAAAACGTAAGACAAAAAAAAATTAGGTACCAAAACGTAATTTTCCATCGATATTTTGAGAACTTATATGCAAAAAAATTAAATTTAGGTACTAAATATGCATATCTATTTAAGTTTAGGTACCAAACTGTAATTTGTATTTGGGCATGAATACAAACCCAAATCCATTTATTATAAACCCAACCCAACCCAAAGTAAATGGGTATGGGTACAAACCCATCAAACTTTACCCATATCCATATATTTGGATTTCATACCCAACCCAATTGGGTTGGATAGTAAAATACCAATGGGTATGGGCAAAATTGCCATCCCTAGTGGCCTCCAATATAAACTCGGCCAGCCGCCAAGATAAATCGTCGGTGGATAAAACAACAGGGGTGACAGAGGGGGAGAGGGAAACCCGAGATGGGATGCGGGAGGTGATGGTGTAGAGAGGAA